TGTATTATATACGCTGAGTTTTTAATTCTAAGTAAATTTCCTTTTTTTTTTTAATAAATATCAATTTTGATTAATCTAATTTAATTCAGCTAGGTAAATTAGGGGCAGAAAAAACACTCTAATTACTATTATACGCACGCCTATGATATCTAGTTAAAAGTATTGGAAGAGTTTTATACAGCGTTACTGTACCTTATAATTTTCCTATAACACTAAAACTCTTGTTATATTTAGAATACTATAGTATTTAACTATATTACCAATAACACTGGTCTACACAAATTTCGAATTTTAAATAATATATAAACTTCAATAAATATACCATATAATTATATTCAATTACACAGTATACAAAATATTAACAGTTTTTTTATAATATATTAAAATTATACCTTTAATATATAGTGATAATGTAATATTTGCTATAAAAATATATTCTGAGAGTATTTCAAAATATTTCAACTATATTCTAGATATATTTTAATACCAAAAAGAAATATTCTAGAAATATTCCAGTGACATCTAGTTAATAAGATGTGATTTTTAGCTTAGATGTAAAAACTCTTTTCAAAAGTTTTTATAAACTTATCAGAATAACCCATGTATTAATAATGTAAATTTATTAGACTTCAATTACGTCATCAGTCAGAAGCTGATGTTAGCACAACATGAACAATAAATCAGCATGGTATTTCACAAGTAACTTTTAAAAGTCTCTAGTTAAATTTGAATCGGTTTTATGAATATTATCACTACAATAAAATTGTTTGTTCTTTTTTGTTTTCGTACATTGTGCAACTATTAAACATTTTCAATTGAAAAACATTCATTGCTTTTCGAGTTAGAACTTATAACTTTTAATACTTTTGCTAATCATAATCTAATCATAACCTCTTTTTCACGAGTACGTGTATTTGTCTTATAAAACTTGATATTTGAAGAATAAGTGTTTGTGATTGGAACGTAAGAAAAATTTATCTTTATTAAAAGTTCGGACTAACAACTTAGCTACTTCAAATTTTGATTTTAACAATGAACTTTTAACTTATAATATAGGTGCAGCGTACCTTTTATTCAATATATAAACAAAACCTACGAAAAACTTAATTATCTATTACTAGTAAGTCATAAAGTATATAATAAACCAAAAAGAAAAAATCCCTTAAATGAATGTGTTGAAACTTTCGTGGATTGTCGTATTGCTTGAAACGTTTACGGATGTACCACGTTTTTAGTTTTGAGCTGACATTTTGGATTCGTTGCAGAGTTCATCTTCAAAGTGATAGTTACAAGCTCGTGGTTGTAACTATACTGTCGGCTTAGCTTGTTTGTGATATGATTTTATGTCAGTTGATAACTGATAACGACGAAATTGTTTATCTGTTGTTTTTATTGTGTTGTTGTTGACAGCTATCGGTTTGTTGTTTACATCTAGTTTTTATTTTTATTTTTTATAAATTAATGAAATAATAGTATTCAAACTAAATTGTTTGTAATTCAATATTTAAACAATAAACCACATAATAAAAATAAAAATTTTAAACTCCTTAAAAGATTTTTTGTATAACATAACTCTCAATAGTTAAAGAAAACGCTAAATTTTTATTATAAACGAAAATACCTCAAAATATTATGAATGGTAAAAACGGTCCACTTTGATATTTTTTGGAATTTAATACTTCTATAAATTATCAGCCGAAAATGTCTAATTTTCGTCCTAAAATATTCACTTACAACGTCACTGCATTCAATTATTGGTGTAACGAAGGAATGTTCTTGAAAAAATTAAGGGAAAATAAAATCATTAAAACAAACTTATAAATTATTTGAAATAATGAATAAAAATTTATGATGAAATTTCATCAACTTTTACTTAGTTGGTAGCAAAATTATAATAAAACTATCAAAAAATGTTTAGAATATTTTTGTTCAAAAAATGGTTTTATGGCTACTTCATGTTTTCTGTATTTTATTCGCTTCTATAGTTCTATTTGTTGTGCAAAAACTATAAATACAATAAAAAAATGACCAGTTAAAAAAATTTAATAGAACTACCCAAAATTTGTCTCAATTTGGCCGTTTAATAACATTTTGTTACTTATAGTCGTTTTGTTATTATGTCGCAAAATGAGAGGGGCAACATAATTAATTTTTCCGTGTCATCCCACCTATTAGCTGATGCTACTCTTTCGAAATCAACGAAATTTCCTCCGTTAAGTTTCCTGATAATGTTTGGGGTGTTCTGATTGCGTTTATGGCCTTAGTTTTTGGTTAGGAAATAATTGTAGAGATGCATGTAATATATATGTTGGACAATAGTATAAAATTAAAAAACGTACTTTAGATTTTATTAAAATTATGCAATTATTACTATAAATGTAGCACGAAAGCCAGAAAAACACCTAAGTTAACCACTAAAGAGCGGTATATAAAAATTGTAGTACACTTAGGGGAGAATCCCTCACTGAAAGTTTAATATAAAACAGAAAGATCGGTGTCTCTACCAATTGTTACGTCGCTATTTAGGAGTTGAGCCTAAATTCCCGTCGACAGTATTCTAAGGGACCAACGGGGGTTAGCTGGGTAAGCTATATCTACCTCAAGTACTGGGACTTCCTATTTAATTTATATTCCCTTAGAGGAACTACCAAGGGTCGCACTGCAATATATATATATATAACACTCTTTGTTAACAACGATATAAATATATATTAAGTAAAGAAATATTAAATAAACAGTACAACCTGCTGGACACCTAGAGATGATAATAATCCAACAGGGAGCTGACGGCGACACACACACACTCTTTCGGTGATAGCTAATTTAAGTTAAATATAAGACAAGAGTAATGGTCGCGATGACGGTAAAATATCAACTACCGTTTAGGATATTAGTATTAAAGCACAATGGCCGTGAATTCCAAAAGTCTTTATGTGTGCAGTCTGCCCTCCTGTAGTAATACGTGTATGTCACTGTATCAACGATATAAGCCTAGTCGTCGTTACAATAATATTGTGGGATATGATCACGTATATGTGATCGTATCATAGATGTAGGGGAGACTGGGGGAACTATGGTCAGTGGGTAATACCGGTCACCTCATTATCTAATAAACCCATGCATCTAAAATTATGTTGACCATATGTATAGATTAAGAATTATAAAAAAACCTTATTCTTATTAGAACGATATTATCAAAAAACGTTTTCACGTTTAAATGTGTGAAAACAATTTTCAGCGTTTATTTATCAAAAAAAAATGTTTTAAGAAATTTAATTTATGGTAAGCAAATTATTATATATTTATAATTTATATGAAATATATTTCAGTGATTTTTTTAAAAATAGTTTTTTCCCTATCATTTTACATTTATTTATGTATGACCGATATTCCCCCAGGGTCGGTTTTCATTTGCGTTAAAAATAAAAATATAAATTCATATATATATATAAGATTATATTTTAAAAATCTGAGACTCTGACATAATGCAGTCAATATGTTTATGCATCCATTTGTTGTAATAGCATAACACTTAGAGTTTTAGAACCAGAGATATAACAATTTTTGCTAAGGTGGCCGTAGTTCCCCCAATATCCCCTAACACCAAAGCGTTTGTTATCTGGTAAACATTAAATTTGAAGTGAAATTTATATTTATCTTCGTCAAACTGTCTGAATCTAAATAGATAAATTTGGTAGTGACCAATATTTTACATAATAATCAATTCAAAACCATTTAAAATGATGTAAAATATAATACAAAGTTAAAAGAATATTCACTGCTTTTAAGAAAATTCTCAAAAACATACCCAAGAATATTTACGAAAAATATTATCACGGTAATTTTACACTACTTGTAAGACTAAAATAAGTTTTAAAGCTACCAACGTATATTAGCACTTTTACTTCAATTGTTATATTTGCAGAACTTTTTACATTACACTTCTTAACTACTTTGAAGCCTATTTAAATTACAAAAATTACTTCTTAACTTTTTATGTGATTTTTTAATAAAATACAACGCAAATTTTGACAACTATAGTGATTGTATAGAATCGAGTCCAAGTGATTTATGTTGTACTCGCTCTTAACATAAATACTACACTGAATTTTGTTTCTTCGATTTTTTTTATTGAAATTATATCATTTAACAAACACAATAATTATCTTAGAACATAAAATAGTTATTTGAAACTTTAATTTTTGAAGTTTTAACGTGTATAGTTTTCATATTGATTTATACTTCCTGACAAATAAACTGTTAATGACATCTATAAAATTTCTAAATTTATTTAGCTTTATAACATAAAAATGTAAAATGTATAAAATTATTAATTTTATTAGATTTTTCATAAAAATGACAAAAAAAAAAAAACAAAGAAATATTTTGTATTTTAAAAAGTTTATACAGAGTAATAATTATCTATGACTCACACAATTTCTTTAAAACTATAAAACAATATAATAAACAAAATGGAACAATTACTGCAATTTTTTTTTCATATAATATTTGCTTTCTTAGACTATGTTTAAAGTATTTTTATATTTCTTTATCAACAGTGTAACATACCCACTAGTATGTACTATATACACTGGTAGTAAATGCATTATAAATATACACTAGTATAAGCTGTATCAACGTCATTTTGTTAATTAGGTTATTTTTCTTATTTTTAAAAGTTAAAAATATGTCTTCACTTAAAAAACTTAAGTTGATAAAATATTAAGTGTTATGGAGAGAAGATGGGGCAAAATTTTTTTTTTTTTTTTAATTATAGAACATAGGATAATATTAATTTCTAATCAGAAAAAAATATTTCAAGCACTTCATATTTGTCAAAATATCTTTAAAAAAAAAGTACTTTATTTGGAAAAAAGTTGTAAAAAAAATTTTTGCTAGGTAAATATATGACGTATGAAAGAAAATTACGGATCGTGGAAAAACTGTTTTTATTATTATTGTTATTATAATGATTATTACTATTGTTTTGTTTTTGGCAGACGATTCGTACACCGGTAACGACCTGAAACTTTGGCGGCTTGACAGAAGACAAACTGGTGTTTACTACTGTATAGCCAGCAATGGTATACCGCCCGCGGTCAGTAAAAGAATTACTCTAAATGTTTACTGTAAGTATATAATAATTTATAATTATATAAAAAAAAAGTGACTGTCAATTATTGTATTTTATTTTCCATCAAAAACTTAATCTACACACAATACTGACTATTTAAAACTTTCGAATGAAGCTTAACCAGACAAATAACCATTTAATTCTAGGAGCATCTAAAAAAAAACTCGCATAAATAAAATTCAAGGCATCCAATTTAAAATATTATATACATTTACAGAAACTACCTCTACGATTCCAATGAAACTATTCATTCAACTGACTTCAAAATACCCCAACTTATTAATAAGTTATACGAATTTCCACTGAAAACCACAAAATAATAAAAAATTACTGATATTCAATCCATTTAAAAATTGCATTTCCAGTTACCCATTCAGACGTCTAAAACGTTGATAGAATAGCGATATTTTAAAATGAAAAATAAATTAACTTAAAAAAGATAATTATACTACTAGATAATAATTGATCAACGATGTAATGGATTAATAAACAAACAAATATTTATAAGTATCTTTCAAATCAATTTTTTTTTAAATAATGTGACGAGTCGGCTGATTAAAAAATCCTAGTTGACCAATTACCATCAAACTTTTTGTACGAGGGCGGACGAATAGACTGACGTTTCGCTGAAATGGCACACAAATTTAAATATTCAAATTATAAAATAATCAGGATGTATTGTGTGCACGTATATTATTAATATAGATTCAATTAATAGGAATTTTATTCGTTATTATTTATCTGTGCCTGAGACATAGACCACAAAATTAATCTAAAAGTAATAAAAAAAAAAACATTAATGCGACTAAATTTAACAACTAGTATTATATGAGTTTCCGGAGTTATCTAGAAAAATTATTTGCGAGGAAGAATTAATATCATTTGATGGTAAAGGTAAAAGCAAACTATTCTTAGGATTATGGTTCAATCATTTTCTGTCAGAAATGTGAATTATACATCGAATCAAAGAAATATTTCTTTAAAAGATATTCAAAAAAATTGCCTACCCATTTTATAAATTTGATCGATACAAAAAAAGGTGCAAATGAGTATTACAACTTATAATATTTAGAAAATAAACATGCACTGAGTATTTTTAAATAATTTATTACTTTTTTTAATGAACATATTAATAATTGATAACGGCGCTGATGTTTCAATATTAAGTAGGTAGTCGAAATAAGTCGGTAAATTATTCATCAATGAAAGTTTAATTCTATACTTTTTGGAAAAATCTAATAATCTTTTCATTTAGTTGATATACTCAATGAAATAAATTATCGACCACAAACAAAAAAATATTACTCACTAAATAAAAAAACATTTAAAGGGAAATATTATTTTCAATTTTTTATAACATGTGAAATTCAATAAAAAAATCTCTCTTCTAAGAAATATTCAAAAATTACTATCAATATCTTAAATGTATATAATGTGATCAGTTATCATCAATCACTCATTAATTTCAAAATAAATACAAGATTAAATAATATTTTTTTAGTTATATTTAATGTATATTTCTTGGTTTTTCAGCTATTAGTTACTTTTTAATATTATATCTTATAACTAATAGGGAGTCAACCGTAGATTTATAAATGACAATACAAATATTTGACTAGCTGATAAAAAAAAAATTATTAAATTAAAAAAAGAACTTGTCAATTATAACTTTTGGATCAATACTTTGGAAGTTATTAGCATTTTTTAATTTAGACTCGATGTGAGTGCCTGTATGACTATTTTTAACATTAGACTGCTCGCACTCCTAGGTATTAATATGCTATAACTTCCAAAGTATTGGTCCAAAAGTTTATATCCACAAGTCTTTTTCTTAATTATTATTATCATTCTTCATTTTATAAGCTAGTGAAATATGCATGTGGCCATTCAAAAAAATTAAGGTGTCCCCAAATAATTTATAAGGGATTACTCTAAAAGAAAATAAATAGCTAATAAATCAAAAAATATGTATAACTAAAAAGACCAAACATTTTTATTTTTCATTATGGTATTTATTTTTTGAGTAATCAGATGGTTTATGATAAACTTATTACTCAGTATATATATACATCAATAGAGTATTGCTAAATTATTTTTATTAGATGTACAATTATAAATTACCTGGTGGAGTTTTTCAAGTACCGATAATAACAATACTTAAATATTCTAAATAATTACTCATTATGTTTTTTCTCTTGAGTTAAGTAATTCGATAAAAATGAAGTAGTTAAACTGAATGTACAATGAAGTTAATGATTGAGCCTCATTAAAAGTACAATTAACAAAGAAAACAATAATATAAACATGAAACAAAAAAGGTTACAATCGTTAATAATTATTTTATTTTTAACTTTAAATCCATGTATTATTTAAAATAGTCACTATAAAATAAATTAATGTTATACTAGATAGCTAACTTAATATTTATCAAAAGACTTTACATTGGACACATTTTATTTTTGAATGAGATAGCACAACAAATATTACTAATCAAATTATTGTTGATGTTTCGGCTTTCACTACTATTGGTGCGAACTGGTTTTACCAAAGGGGTAGTGTGTCAAAGGTCACAAAACTGTGTCATTGACGTGCCAATTTTTCATCTACACAGATATATAATAAATATTATTCAATGTGCTCAAAAAGTAAAGGGTACAAAAAAATTCTCATTTGTCACTGGACCAATTTTGTTGATCAATTCTTTAAAATAATCTGACTTTAATCTTATTAGTGTCAAAAACAAAATTAAATCCTTTAAATTTTAGAAAAATATTTCAAAATTACACTACCATAAAAGAGAATTTCTGAAAATGTTTTATGCATTTTAATACTGCTACAACTATTATTAAAAACACTGATCCAAATGAAATATATAACAGCAGTACTTGAGATTGTAATCTTTCTTTTAATATGCTTATTATTCAAATTGAACTATAAAAATCTTAGTAAAGGAAAGTTTAAATGAGATGACCATAAACCTTTGACAGCAAAATAAAGCTTTCGAAGTGTACTATTGTAGTACACTAATATTGTATTAGGAAAAAAAATATTAAGGTTGACATATAGTTAGTGTAAAATAAATAAAAATTTATATATTAATTAGGTATAAAAAACATGCCTTCATTAGAATAATGATAAGAATAACTCATCATTATTCTCAATATAATTTAATTGTCACCTGATTTATAGGGGAGAGTGAGTGTTTCTTGAGCCACCTTTAATAAATATTCTTCTGGAACGTCGATAAATAGTTATTACTAGATTCTCGATAAACTAACGTGTATAAAGTATAAATCAAATATGAAAGCGTATTCAACACATCGTTTGTAAACTTTTCTTTATAATTATACAGAGTGTTGGAAAAATAAGGAAACAGATCAATTGTTACAAACAACGAGAACAATAGAAACCGTTTCCTTATTTACTGAACATTCTATATAATAAAAATCCATTAAAATAATATAAATTTATATAAAGAGTGTACCATTGAATCATGAACAACTCGATTACTCATAAAATAATAATTAGGGTTAGGCTTATATTTTTTTATACCCAATATTTATTATGTCATTATTAAACCAATAACGTATAATTAAATATTTTAATATTATACAATTGTCATACGCTTTAATATGTAAATAAACACTATTGTATTTATCGTTGAAAAATGTAGAAGATTGTGCTACATCATTACCTCAATTACTTTAAAGTAAATGAATAATGGAAAAGTATACACAAAATAAACTATTATTTGTTGGGAATTTTCAAAAATGTCCTTCATTTTTTGTATTAGCATAAATTTAATATTTCTTAAATTCTTATTAAATATTATTCGATATTCGTTATCTAATATTTCATAATTGTAAGTTAGATAAACAAAAAACTTATACTCAACTTTAAACATCCGAAAAATCAATTGAACATTCTCAAATTTTGCGCGCGTGTGTGTGTGTGTGTAAATATTAAATTAATTATCTCAAAAACTTCATCACTAGTTTGGTTTTCTTAATACCAATGGCAGTAACAATCTGTTTTAATAGGTTATGTGTAATATTAAATTATTATTTAGGACATGTAAAAAGTTTCCCGCGGGTGACCAACAATACGCAGTAGTAAATTTGCTTTAAATATAAAACTATGCGACTATTAACAGAGAATTAAATTATTATAGATAAGATTTCTGTATATTGGATACTTAGTCAATAAATTATGACATAATATTAATATATGAAGACTTCTGTTATTTTTAAATTGAAATACCAAATTAATTTCAAATTACTATATGGTAACATGCTGTAACAGATGAGCAGATTATTGGATCAAAAAATGTTAAGAATAAAATTATTTAAAATAGTTTTTTATTTATATTATTAAATAAAAAATAGAGATTTTTCTCACTTAAGAAAATTAAAGTTAAAGTTTTATTTCTGAATAAATGTAAAAAAATTATTTTCTTCATAATATTGAAGAGTTCTTTAAACCAAATAATTTTTCTCTTAATAAAAATTTTAAATTTTCATCACTTAATGAGAAAATGAGTGTCTTGTGTGAATTTTCATCTTATGCGAATTTGATCACTTAGTATATCTGTGGTGGACTTTTGCGACTATGTATTGTGCTGCAGTTGACACACGAATTACTCTTAATATACGTGATGTCTTAATTGTCAAGTGCCTTTTTACAACGTTATTCAATGTAATTAATGCGTGAAAATGTTTGTGCAACTCCTTTTTATCGAATGGATGATACGATGTCTTCCATCGATTGTGCCAACTCGTCCGTGAATAAGTCAGAAATTAAAGATTGTTAATCTTGTACAGTATCTATTTTTTGAAAATGACAAACTTAATAATACTCATTAGTACCAGATACTCTTAAAACATTTAGATTGTATAAAAATTATCGGTTAAAATTATTTTATGTAATTGATTCTATCTATTTTATTACATTGTTTAATTTATTAAAGTATTAATCTATAATTAGTACCCATACGTT